ATTCCTGGGCATGATTTTGAATGCCCGGAGCCAACTGTAGGCCACTTCGTGTCTTCGAGTTCCCAGAACTCCATTCCTGGGCATGATTTTGAATGCCCGGAGCCAACTGTAGGCCTTCGTGTTCTTCGAGTTCCCAGAACTCCATTCCCGGGCCACATTTTGCTGAGGCAGGCTGAGGCTGAGGCAGGCTGAGGCTGAGGCCGAGGCTGAAGGCAGACTGAGGCTGAGGCTGAAGCAGGCTGAGGCTGAGGCTGAGGCAGGCTGAGGCTGAGGCAGGCTGAGGCTGAGGCTGAGGCAGGCTGAGGCTGAGGCTGTGACTGCGACTGCCGTTGCCACTGCGACTGTCATCGCGAATGCGACTACGACTGCGAGAACAGCAGAATTCTACAACTGGATTCTCATCTGAATCTTAAGGGGAATGCTTCCAGATATGCTCCTACACATCGCTGTTAGGTTGCTTTGCCGGGATACTTTCTTTTGATGTTTGTAGGAGTTTGGCCTCTTGGGGGCGTCCTGAGCGGGCTCCGAGAGCTATTGGAACTCTCTTAGAGCGGACTGGGGGGCCTTTTGGAGCATGCTGGAAGCCATCTTGAGCCATCTTCGGCTATCGGGAGCCGCCTTGGAGGCCATCTTGGAGCATCGGAGGCCCTCTAGGCACCATATTGGTGGGCCATCTTGGCCGCTCTAACCCATCGCGACCCCCCCGAAGAACCCGAGGGAGGGGATGGGGAGGGGGAAGGGGAGGGTGTCCCCCCCCCGAAGGGAAGAGGAGTGTTGGGAGAGGGACGAACGACATCGTTAGATCACCTACGCCTAGAGTTAGAAAGTCCAGGGTTCGCCATGGACTGGTTTCCCCCGAAAGCGACCCAAACCGTTCTGTGAAACCCTGCCAGAAACCTCCGAAAAGTAGCCCGGAACCCTTCAGGGAGGGTTTTCGGAGGGTTTCGGGATGGTTTTGGTTGTTTTGGGGGGAAGCCAGTGCCTAGCTAACCCTGGAATTTCTACGCCCAGAGGGCTGGTGGGATTCGTTGGGGTAGCCTTGGCCGGGGAGTCGATCCGTGAATTATTTCCCAACCATCCTGTGGTGTTGGGTTCTCGTTTTGAAGAGACAGCGCCCCGCGTCACCTCACCTTCTGCTGCCTCCTCCCCCCTTCATCTCATCATCATCAGCATCATCATCTGCAGTCCGCCCCTCACACACTTCGCGGCCCCATAGGGAGCTCCACCGAAGGTCCCAGTGGCAGGGTCCGCACGAGGGACTCGGGCCAATTCGGCACACCCGTCACACGTCTCGTGGCCCCATAGGGAGCTCCACCGAAGGCCCCAGTGGCAGGGTCCACATGGCGGCGCCGCCTCATTTTGGCGCACCCCTCACACAGTTCGTGGCCCGTGGGGAGCTCCACCGAAGACTTCAATAGCAGGGCCCACATGGCGCCGCCGCCCCATCTTGGCGCACCCCTCACACGTTTCGCGGCCCCTATCAGGAGTTCCACCGAAGGCCCCAGTGGCAGGGTCTACATGGCGGCGCCTCCCCATATTGGCGCACCCCTCACATTGTTCGTGGCCCCACAGGGAGCTCCACCGAAGGCCCCAGTGGCAGGGTCCGCATGGCGGCGCAGCCACATTTTGGCGCCTTTCTCACACGGTTCGTGGCTCCATAGGGAGCTCCACCGAAGGCTCCAATCGCAGGGTGCACATGGCGGCGCCGCCCCGTTTTGGCGCACCCCTCGCACGCTCCGTGGCCCTAGAGGCAGCTCCACCGAAGGCCCCAGTGGCAGGGTCAACATGGCGGCGTCGCCCCATCTTGGCGCACCCCTCACACGGTTCGCGGCCCCATAAGGAGTTCCACCGAAGGCCCCAGTGGCAGGGTGCACATGGCGGCGCCGCCCCATCTTGGCGCACCCCTCACACGGTTCGTGGCCCGTGGGGAGCTCCTTCGAAGACTTCAATAGCAGGGGGGCCCACATGGCGGCGCCGCCCCATTTTGGCGATCCCCTCACACAGTTCGCGGCCCCATAGGGAGCTCCACCGAAGGCCCCAGTGGCAGGGTGCACATGGCGGCGCAGCCCCATCTTGGCGCACCCCTCACACGGTTCGTTGCACCATAGGGAGCTCCACCGAAGGCCCCAATAGCAGGGCCCACATGGCGGCGCTGCCCCGTTTTGGCGATCCCCTCACACGGTTCATTGCACCATAGGGAGTTCCATTGAAGGCCCCAGTGGCAGGGTCCACATGGCGGCGCCGCCTCATTTTGGCGCACCCCTCACACAGTTCGTGGCCCGTGGGGAGCTCCACCGAAGACTTCAATAGCAGGGCCCACATGGCGCCGCCGCCCCATCTTGGCGCACCCCTCACACGGTTCGTGGCCCCACAGGGAGCTCCACCGAAGGCCCCAGTGGCAGGGTCCGCATGGCGGCACCGCCCGATTTCGGCAACCCTCCTCACACGGTTCGTGGCCCCATAGGGAGCTCCATTGAAAGCCCCAGTAGCAGGGTCCGCATGGCGCCGCCGCCCCATTTCGGCACACCTTTCACAGGGTTCGTTGCCCCATAGGGAGCTCCACCGAAGGCAGGGTCCGCATGGCGGCGCCGCCCCATCTTGGCGCACCTCTCACACGGTTCGTGGCCCCATGGGAGTTCCACCGAAGGTCTTGGTGCCACCGTCCACACGGCACGGCCGCTCCATTTCGGCACACCCCTCACACGGTTCGTGGCCCGACAGGGAGCCCCACCGAAGGCCCCAGTGGCAGGGTCCGCATGTCCCCGCCATTCATTTCGGCACACCCCTCACACGTCTCGTGGCCCCACAGGGAGCTCCACCGAAGGCCCCAGTGCCACCGTCCACATGCGCCCCCCCCCCCACACCCACTTCAGCACACCCCTCACACGTTTCGTGACGCCATAGGGAGCTCCACCGAAGATGATATCCACAACTGCGTTATTCACAACTCCATATGGCTGGGTCCTTCGCCAGGCTAATTGGGGGAGGCGTGCCTCTCGAGTCAAAAAGAGGCAGCTGGGACAGCCCAGCGACGGCACCCGAGAGGGGGGGCAAGCCGACGAGATCTTGGGCAGCACTGGGCTGGGAGGACGAGCCCAGACATGCTCGCGTTTTGAACAAATCAGAAAGGGTGTTTTTTCGCAGTTTTCGGCCTGCGGGGGCCCTCGTCGGGCCCCGGGACCGTCGAACAAACACGACTCAGGTTGAAAACCTGGCCCCGGGGCAAGGGTCGGGATTTCGAGGCACCCCGTATTGGAAAACCAAGACGGCGCGTGTTTGGGAGGGGGGTTGAAGCAGGGCGAGGGCCTCGCCTGCATGCCCTGTGCTGCTCCTGCTCAAAGGGACGGCCCGAAATCCAGAGCCCCTCCTGAGCCCAAAGCGGTGCTTACTTCCGCGCCTTCAACTGTATCTGCCACCCAGCCTCTCTGGCACGTTGAGCCGTGGTGGATGATGCGAGCTGCCTGGCGGTCTGGGTAGGGTCTTCTGAGGCCCCACGCCCCCCGTCCCTGTCGCACGGTGGCGCGTGCAAGAGTCCCCCCTCCCGAGGCTCCCTTGGCGGCCCTGGAGCTTCCCTGTGCTGCTTGCAGCTCCTGGTTTCTTGGGGCGCCAGGCCGCCGTGAGCCTCTCCTTTTGGGCAGCCGTCAGGCCGCCTGCAGTCGGCCCCTTCCGCCGCACCGCTGCGCTGGCCGGCCGTCGGCCGGCCGTCGGCCGCGTCTTCGCCAGGCCGCCCAGGCCGCCTGCGCTCGGCCCCACCCTCCAAGACGGCTTGGGTGGCTCACGGTGGCCTCCAAGCTCGCCCAAGATGGTCACCCATGGCCTCCAAGATGGCCTCGGAAGGTCCAAGATGCCTCCAAGTCCGCCCAAGACGCCTCCCAGACTGCCCAAGTCCGCTCAAGATGACGGCAGACGGCCCAAGAGGCCCCCAAGAAGCCCCAAGATGGCCCAAGAAGCCCCCAAGACGGCCTCCAGGAAGGCTCGAAGAGGCCCCCCTCCTTTGATGAGCAAAGTTCGAGGTGACAGATCGGACGTCTGACAGCTGCACTTCTCCTCAGCAGGCGCTTTGCACAGCCCATTCAGCAGGGCTCGAGCGCACGCGCTTTGAACACCCTCCGCCAGAGCGCCGGTGCACCCGCGGAGGGCGCGAGGGTGCGTCGCGCTCCACGCGCCGCGGCCCGGGCCGGGGAGTGCGCCCGTCTCTCTGGGGGGTGCGGCGCGAGGGCGCCAGGACGGGTCGCGCGTCGCGCATCGCGGGGCGCGGCCCGCCGAGCTCGAGAGGGGCAGGACGTCATGGTGAGGAGGTGCGCTCTCCGGCTGTCCCGCGCGGCATTCGCGAGGCGAGAGCCGCCGGATGCTCAAGAACTCCCGGAACGCAACCCCAGAGGAGCGAGGAGCAGCGAGGAGGAGCGAGGAGGAGCGAGGAGGAGCGAGGAGCGAGGACTTGAAGTAATCTGGCTTTGGGCTTTGGGGCGCCTTAACCCAGTAAGTGGGCCTAGTTTCCTGGTGTCGCCACCCTGGAGGGCACCGTGGCCCGACGGAAAAAAGGTGGCCACGCAGCACAATGGCCTGACACCGAGTGGTGTCTGGCCACCGGTTGGGTTGCTGGACCCAGTGGCAGGTCTTGTCCAACAGTGCGGGCTGGCGGAGCCAGGAGCAAGGAGCGAGGAGCGAGGAGCGAGGAGGACCTCGGGGACATCGAGGACATCGAGAAAGCTGGGAGCGAGGTGCGAGGAGCGAGGAGGACGTCTGGGACACCGAGAAAGCTAGGAGCGAGGAGCGAGGAGCGAGGAGCGAGGAGCGAGGAGCGAGGTCATAGAGAACAGCGAGGACATCGGTCGAGGACATCGAGCGAGGACCTCGTGGCATCCCCTTCTCGCCCTGAGGCGTTTTTTTGGTGGCCAGGGACCTCTGCGGGTCGCCTGCCCGCCAAGCCCCAGACTTCGATCCTCGATCCTCCTCGATCCTCGAGGAGGATCGAGGAGGGTCCAGGGTCGAGGATCGAGGAGGATCGAGGAGGATCGAGGAGGATCCCTCCTGGACCCTCCTGGATCTGATCCTCGATCCTCCTCGCCGCCCGCCGCACCTTTTAGGCCCTCCTCAGCAGCAGCCTCGCTCAAGGCGCCCCCCATTCGCGCGAGCCCCAGCTGCCGCCCGCCACCCTGCCCCTCGGCGATGTCGGCCTCTGTGTACCAGGCCCCTGGCATGACGTACACCATGCCAGCGGTGACCAACCGCACGGGAGAGTCCTTAGCATGACATGAGGAGCGTAAGATTCGGGTTTGCTGTCGCTTTTTTGGCGATCCCCATGTGCATTTTAGTATTCGCGAGGTGTTTCCAGCAGGAGTTCCCGTCAAATTTCAGAGTAGGTCCTGGCCCCGTCAGACCAGTCCGCGTCTCCACAACTCGAGTCTTACGACTCACCGACATGAGCAGAGGAGGGAGAGGACACCGACGAGGTGGCGCATGGGCAGTAGTGATCAATGGCAATCGCAGAGACAGGCATTGTTGTCTCTTGTCCTCCTCAAGGAATCGAAGCACCAAGCATCATTATCGAACAAGTCTGATGTTTTCAACGGAGATTGGAGAAACTTGACTTCCATGAGCTTGTCGTATTGAAGTCCGGTGCGCAGCATACAGTTGGATTTTGTGTACGCTGGGAAGCTTTGCGTCACTCTGTGTGGGTCCGCCCATACAAGCCCTGGCTGGCGAGGGCAATTCGTAGAAAGACCAGAGCAGGCTCACTCGTGCCAGCCTCAAGCTCTTCGGCTACCCGAATCTGTTTCCGTCTGGGCCTCTTATGAGTCGTGGTGCCCGTGCTAGTGCTGCCCCTGCCTTTGATTTGAGCGCGCAATGTACTCGCATTGGAAGTTGGCTCATTAAGGTAAGCTATTATGCCAGTTCTGTTTCTGACCAGCTCTCTCCATGTTCTTTCACCTTCCAGTCTCACTCTTGGCAACGTGATGGCAGTGAAGTAGGGGATAGCAGGAGAGTGCGAGTATCAACGCGGGCTCTTGGTACAGCACAGTGGCCCAACATTATTTCATCTCACCTCGGGCTTTGTCCAGCGCAACGACTGCCCGCATGAGTAGGTTCCGATCCATGTACTGTCGTTCTGACACGGGCATAGGCGAGGGATGCGCATCTTTGTGCCTTTCCCTATCACTCAGGTGACATCTGCGGCGGAGCCCTCAGACGACCTCATCAGCATGTGTGTGTGTGTGTTTGTGTGGATATGTAAGAACTGTGCGAAGGTATTCGCATTTATTCTCCATGGCTACTCCCATTGATGGCGAATTGAATATGGATTCGGTTATGGCGTTGAAGCTAGTCCACATCTCTTCGCGACGCATGCGTTCGGCGTGATTATCTGTCTCGGCAGGAGAGCGTCAATGCCCCGCTCAGTAAAACAGGACCACACTATGATTGTATGGAGGTCGTACTTGGACCGATGACGCAGAGATGAATGTTGTGTGTTGTCTCTTCGTGACATGGCATTGTGGTACAAATGCGTCGGATGTGGCCAAGCCTTCATTCTGGCAGGTTCAATACGTGCCGTTGTGTAGTTTCACGTGTGCCTCGATCCATCAACCCATGTCCAGGCTCTTCCACGGGAGCTTCACCTCTGCTGCCTTTACATACCAGCTTTCCACACCGCCCGCTTTACATTTGATACGACATTATGGGAGACAAGTTCCAGCTGTTTAAGGCACGTTTCGCCACCGTGCCAGCGCACCACTCTGTGTGGCGACGCTTCGAGCACCGTCCAGAAGGCCGTCATCTGTGACACCTCTCGTGTATTTTTTGAGGGGCTCTCATCGGGACTTCCTGGGCCGTCTCGGGGCTGTCTTGGGCTCCTGTGGGGCCGTGTCGGGGAACTCTCGGGGCCCCTTTTGGGGAGTCTTTTGCGCCCTCTGGGGCCATCTTCATGTCGTCTTGGGCCGTCTTGGGCTCCTCTCGGCTGGCTTGGGAGTTTCTTGGGGCTGTCGTGGGGGCCTCTTGGGCTCTCTTTGGCCACCTTGGGGCACTCTTAGGCTTTCTCGGGTCCCCTAGCCCTATAGCCCAATAGCCCGATAGCCCTATATCCGTATAGCCCATAGCCCTATAGTCCTATCGATCCATAGCCCCAACAAAGATTATGATTGGGGCTTCTCTCCGGTATCATTTGTTATCATGTGTTTTGGGCACCTTCATCATGACATGCTTAGAACCATGGCTTGCAGCGTTTTCGACCAGCGTTCCCCAGTTGGATTCTTTGACATGATTGGCGGGGGTGCCCGATGGTCATTCAATGATTTCGACATGCGCGTGCAATCGGCCCGCTTGGCCTCAATCTGGTCGAGTTGCTACAAGCTTGATGGTTCTCTCATGATTTCAGCGACTGCGCGCGCAGAGATGCAGCTGGCTATGGACAGCACCGCGTTATCCACAATTTTCGTAATGTATATATAGAGGCAAACAATGGATGTGTGATGATTTGCATGTTTGCGCGCATGTGCCTTGCATTGTTTAATTTGATTCCCCAAGTAGTGCTTGCACTTAGTGGTTCTTACTTGTTACTAAGGAGCGGGGTCTGTCTGTCTGTCGCCGTCGCCGCCCCGTCGCTGCCTCGTCGCCGTCTCGTCGCCGCCCGTCGTCTGGGCCTGTCTGTCGGTCTCGTGGCTATGTTGCTGCCGTCTCCGCTCCGTCGCCGCCCGTCGTCTGGTCTTGTCTGTCGGTCTGACGGCTACGTTGCCGCCGTAGCCGCTCCGTCGCGCTTCGTCGCCGCCCGTCGTGTGGGCCTTCATTGTGCATGGGTGCGTGCTCCTTTCTAAGTGAGTAATGGGTCCCCCCCGCTTCGGAATTGACGGGGTCCTTCGCGTATGGCAACCTACATATGTTTCAATTCTATAGTTTATCCTTGACATGAGTTCGCGCCATCCCAGGCAGGCCGACATCCCCCCTCATCTTTTGCAGCAGAAGCAATCCGCGCGCATTCGTTTATCAACTATCAACAGCTTTCATAGCTGCCTTGCAAAAGCGTGGAACGAAGTGTGCGTGCGCGCCGTCGCGCGCGCGTGCCGCAATCCTTCAAAAACTTTAACGTTGAAGGAAATTAAACATCGAGCGTCCCGAACACATCGAAACACATGGTTTCGCAACACGGCTTTTCAACAAACAACTTGCGCTCGGATTCTGACGAATTCTTAAAGGGAAACATCGATTGTTCAACATGTCCATAACATGCTACCAAACGGGCCCTTCGCGCGCACATGTCGGAATCGCTCGAATGCGCTTGCGTGTGTGCTGTCGCAATCATCATTTGCAACGCAAGCGGGACGAAGTGCGCGCGCGCTTAGTCGCGCGGGCATTCTGGCATATTTCAAAAACCCTCGGCTTCGCACGGGTTTCAAAATCGAGTGACCCGACGAAAGCATACGAAACACATTGTTTTCCAACAGCAGTTTTCAAGCATGCCAGTGCTCGCGCTTCAGTGGGTTCTCAAGAACACCATCGGTTTTTCAACGTGTCCATCAACTTCGGCCGAACGGGCATGCCGTGCCGCATGTCGAGCTCATCCGAACGCCCTTGCGCGCGTGCTGGTGGGCACGATCCCGCTAAGATAAGAGCGCGCGGGCCACTCGCGCGCGTCGGCCGCGCGCGCATGTCGAGCTCATTCGAAAACCGTCACCGGCGCGAGGGCGCCCCATCGTCGTCGGCGTGCTCAGCATCGGCGCCGTCGCTGGCCTTGCCGTCGCCGTTGTCGTCATCGTCGCCAGCATCGATATCATCGTCATCATCATCGTCGTCGCGTCTACCGTTGTCGACGTTGCCATGATACCGCGCCCGCCGAAGCCGCCGATCCGTACTGAAATGCCCACTGGGAAGCGCCCGGCGGCGGCCAGCGCGACCGTAGCCACGTCGGTCGCGCCAAGCTAGTTGGCCGCTTCGCGCGCGAGCCTGCGCGGGTTAGCGCGACCGCATAGATGCACCAGCCAATTCCAAGCACGCATCGCAATCGACACCGCGTGGATTTGCAAACCAAATTGCGGGTGGGTCGGTGGGGTGACTGCGCGAGCAGTGGGGTTGTCGCTGCGAACAGAAATTATTGACGCTACGCGTATCCCCACTAGCCCATCCAGAAACAAGGCCCATGAGAGCTGACGGGGGGAGAGGGAAAGTCACGCATAGTCAAACAGCGAGGGAGGCTTGGGAGGCTCCGTTGCCATCTCGAGCCGTCTTGGAGCGGTCTTGGGGCCTATTGGGGCATCTTGGGAGCCACCTTGAGCCAGCTTGGGCTATCTGAGGCATCTTGGAGGTCATCTTGGGTTCTCTGAGGCCGCTCGGGTGCCTCTTGGGGGCTTTTCGGGTGCCTCTTGGAAGCCTCTTGGAGGCCTCTTGAGGCTTCTTGGGGCGCTTTTTGGGCCCTCTTGGGTTTTCTTTTTGGAGACCCTGGAGGCCCTTTTGGGGCCATCTTGGGATACTATCGATCAAAAGAGGGGGCTTCTTTTGTTGCACCCCCTTTCGGGGGCCACGACCCTCGTGAGGGGTGGCCAAAAATGGCCCTCCCAGGGGCAGACAAACGACGCCCAACCTTGTCGCGAATCCCCCCCGTCCAGGTCCAGGGGAAGGGGTAAGGGGAGGGGTCAGGATTCCCTCCCCGCCCGCAAGCCGTCTCGCTCACTCCCACCCGTTCCCCCGACGCATACGTAGCACCCGAGTCTGGCCCGAGCCTCAGCATGTTCAGCAGTCGTCTTTGGATGGGCAGCTACTGGAGGCCAATCCGCCGCCGCCGCCGCCGCCTCCGCCGCCGCCGCCGCAGCCGCCGCCGCCGCCGCCGCCGCCAACGCTGTCCGCCGCCGCCGCGCCGCCGCCGCCGCCGCCGTCGCTGCCGCCGCCGCCGCCGCCGCCGCCCGCCGCCGCCGCCGCCCCCGCCCCAGCCCCCGCCCCCGCTGCCAAATCGCCGCCGCCGCAGCCGCTGCCGCCGCAGCCCGTGCCGCCACCGCCGCCGCCGCCGCCGCCGCCGCCGCTTCCGCCGCCGCCGCCGCCGCCAAGTTTTTGTTGTTGTTGTTGTTGGTTTATAGGGATGCTGGGGGGAGGCCGCATCGGGTTGGCTGCGCATTCTCCGAATTTGGAGGCATATTTTTGGTTATATATGTATAACTATGTGTGTGTACACATGTATATATATGTATATATATGTATATATACATATATATACATATATATATATATATATATATATATATGTTTATTTGTTTA